TTCTGTACTTTCATGGCAATTAAAGTGCAAGAGAAATGACAAACGTTGCTTTTACAGAGGTGTAAATGTAGGCAAAATTGAAGCAAAATGTTGGGATAATGATTGATGTATATTCTTTTAACGGCAGATTCATCTTTTAGAGCCTCACTATAAGAACCAGTTTGCTAGCAATGCCACCTAAAGCTCAACATAATGAAACATCGCCATCTTGAGGCTAAATAAATATTTCAAGGGTGTTTTTAGTAACATTCTTACATTTCAAACCATTGAATTTTTTTTTTACCACTCTCCTGCTTAATCCTGTTTGTTTTCTTTTTTGGAAGGAACATGATATTAAAAGTTGGCAGAACACCTTAGCTACCAGATGGACATGCCAGCTAAAAAGGATAGTTCACTCAAAAATGAAAATTAAGTCATGTACTCACCCCTTGTGTTGTTCTATGCCATATGCGCTTCTTTATATTTCAGACCACAAACGGAGAAATTCAAAGAAATGTCCCACTCGCGAAAGCTTTTATTAAAGCTTTTTAAAATTTACATTTAAAATGAAAGCTATCTCAATTATTATAAATAAACGTGTATAAATATCTGACCGTGTAAGGCACAATTAATCTTAAATTCTTTGGCGCAATGTACAATTAAATAGAATTTAACTGAATTCGCCCGGCAGTTTAATGCGCGTCCTCCAGTCCGGTAGAGGGCGCTGCGCGTACATCAACTTGGTCCTTCAAGAGAAGTTGTTTTGAAAACGCCAGTGTTCAAATACACACAGTCCAGAAAGGGGACTTCGGCTTTAATCATTGAACCCTCTCACTAGTAGGCCAGCCGGGTTGTCTTCATTATTGGTAAGCTTTTCCGTCAATGTGTTTTCCCCGCTTCCCGTCGGTTTGCCTTCATAAACACATAAATCAGTCCGGTCTGTAACATTATATGCTAGTGTTGTGCTAGTAATGAATAGCGCCTTCATTTTAAGAATGTGTCATGATGGAACAGGCGAGATAAAATATGGATAAATAATAGAAATGTTCGTTTGTTATTGAGACCGAACATTTGTGTGTCTTGCACGTTAAATACAGCTTGATGGGTAGTTAAATAAACGTAGAGGCACTTACTGTAACTAAAACAGTTTACATTTGAACAAATCGGCCATTGCAGTATGTTAAGCTCTTCAAATGGATGATTTAATGTTCAACTAATATTAAAACCAAGCTTTAGCCTTTTATGAATATGCATATCTTCTCAAACGGCTCATAGTAAATATGCTACTATTTAGCCTAGTAAATAATGCAGTTTACGTTAATACAGCTTATATTATCAACGTAACATCCAATGAAAAACTGATTTAAAAATATATGTATATTATTTTATATATATATTAAAAGATTGTTAATTGTGTAATCTATTAGTACTAATATTATTAATTATGCGTTTATACTATTCTTTTAAATGTAATTAGCAAAATTACTATTAATTTAATAACATCTTACTACTTGAAATGTCCCTCTTTTGCTTTAAAAGCAGCATGAAATCCACTAGATCATATTGACTGAATGTAAATTGAACTCATACTTCCAATGATAAATGTTTTGTTTCTTTCAGATCAACTTAATGCTGTGCCCTTAGGCCAGCGTTTCAAATGAACATGTCTCTTGCTCAAAGAGTCCTCCTGACATGGATCTTCACACTTATATTCCTTATTATGCTGGTCCTGAAGTTGGACGGGAAGATCATCTGGAACTGGTTCCTCATCTTCCTTCCTGTCTGGACCTTTGATCTTATTCTCCTCCTCATGCTCATTGTCAAAATGGCTGGCCGCTGCAAGCCGGGGTTCGACCCTCGCAATGGGGCGGAGAACTTGAAGAAGCCCGTGTGGTACCTCGTGGCCATGCTGCTTAAACTGGCATTTTGTCTGACGCTCTGTGCCAAATTAGAAGGCCTAATGGACATCTTGGTGAGCTCGGTTTGCGTCCCTCTGTGGGCACTGCTCATCGGAGCTATGGTGGAGCTGGGCTACAACGTTTTCCACTTCAGAAGAGACTGAACATATGAACGATATTCTTTGAAAGCCAGCAGAAGTCTTTACTGTATTCTTCAGGAATAAAATCATCTCGAAAGTAGATGTTATTCATAAAGAAGGGAATATACAACGGACAATAAGAATGTACAGCTGTTTTGAGCTCTTTATCAGGAATTGCTTGTTTCTTTCAGGCTCAAGAGTGACTACGCTGAATAGCCTACGTTTCATGTTCACAGTGATGCAGGGAGGGTTACGTATTTTGGCTCAGTGGTGAGTTTCCACTCAGGTGACTGAAATGACTGATTGTGAATGTTCCTCAGAATATTTATTGCATTTTAGTGAAACACTGAGATCAATAGCGGCATAACATAATGGACATTTGAAAACTAACTGTTAATGTGCTGCATACACACTGTTTGTTCAACCAGTACTGTAACAACATGGTTTGCTTACTGAAAAGACATGCGTACTACAATAATGGTGTATATTTATGAGTCTGTTTCTTTACATGCACTTATGTTTTGCATTGCAGAATTTACGTAATACATGTTTACAAAATGCAATTTAAATTTTCTCTTGTGCAGAGTCTGTAAATAATAATAATAATAATAAAAAGTAATAACAGCATCCTTGTAATTAAAAGATACATATTTATTTTCTTTATGACAAGTATGTTCAGTAAGTGCACAGTTATTGTATTTAAAAATGTTTCCAAGATGATGCAGAAAAGGAGTTACAATTCTGCGGGGAGTAAAATGTGTATTTCTAGAAGAAATGTAGTAATTTATTCATTAGTTAATTTTAAGTAATTCAATTATGATCCTCCTTTTTAACTGAAATTGACATTTCCTCTGTACATACAAACAATTTTTGAAAATAACACTTGGTGTTAATTCTAAATTCCTACAATGAAAATAATAGAAAATTACAGATGCTTTTATTTGTATAAAAAAAAAATTGGCATCTGAAATTCTGCAAATATCCATGTAAACATAGTAGTCATGGATTGGCCCAGACTTACAGACATTTTAGTGTTTGTAAGTTAAAAAAATACAATATACAAGATAATAGCTGAATCTGTTAATAGCATGGTTTCATGTCTTATGCAATTCAGCATATTCAAAGCAACACAAGAGGCTCAGTTGTGTATTCTAATATATATGTGTACAGCTCAAAAAACAACATAGATACAGAAACATTTATCAATGTTTATTCAAGTTCTGACACCACACTTATATTTTCTATTAATAAAGCAATAAACACGAGTAGCAATATACTTAAGGTACTTGGCTTTTTTGTACCATCTAACTTAAAAAGAGAGCTTAATTTTTGTTGGTAAGTTTTAGAATTTGTGGGTATAATATTACTTGGCATAGTTTTTAGGTCTAATCATCATTTTAACAGTCTTAAAAGATTGTCTATCATTGGTTGGGTAATATTCCATTGTAATATTGTGCCACGTACCCCAAAATATCCCATTACGCACCCCTTTGTACTTTGATTGATAATATCTCCCATTTAAGTTTGCAGACATGCATGCATCAAACCACCAGCCTGAGCTGTAATAGGCCCCGCAGTTTCCAGAGGGATACTGGTCATTGTCTCTGTCCGGAGTGGTAAAGAGCTTCTGGTCGTGATTGTAATTCTTACTAAACTGCATGGCATTACCAGCTGTACCGGAGTAACCACCAATGGACAGGCGGTATTGTTGGCTTTCATTGGCCACATAAAAGTGGTCATAATGAGCATATTCTTTGATACCCTCAAAGTCTTCGATTTCTATTCGCAATGACATGTTCTTCGCCTTTGTCAACAAGTGAATCTTGTCATTGCCAAGCCAAAACTCCCCTATTAGTTTACCAAATCCATTCTTGTACTCAACCCATGTGTGATTGAAACTTGTGCTGCCATCAAAGCGATGCTGTATCAAAGTCCAGCCCCCGCCAGAAGACTCCATGTCACAGAAAACAGGAAACATGCTGCTCTTTGGCTGCGGCATTACTCCATATACACCATTCCTTCGGGATTTTGTAATGTAATCAGCGCAGTCTTGTGCGGGTCTTTTTTCTGTGGTCAATAAAAACTGTTTTAGGTTACCTCATTCTTTGTTTATGAAAAATGCATTTACAATGTATAAACAGCCTAAATCTGCATGCTTAAACATCTTGAGCATTTCTTTGCCATTATTATCTTTCAACTAGAGAAGCTTTAAGGCACTTTTATTTGTAAAGCTACTTTGAAACCATATTTATTGTGGAAAGCCCAATACAAATAAATTAAATTGGGTTGAAATTGAAAAAATAAACATTCAGCTGAAAATCTGGATCTTATGAATTTGTAAACGAATGCAGAGCAAGATGATGCAATGAAATTGTTTTCTATCCGTCTTTGTTGTTAGACCCAAACAACAAAGCTGCATTCGACAGACTATACTTAAGGTTTAGTTTATAAGATATGCAAACGCTGTTTTATACATAGACATTTGGACCACCTGGATTTTATTTATCCACGGTTTCAAGAGTTTATATTGGGCCAAATTTCAGACTCCATTCATCGGACAAGTAAATTTAGCACTAGGCATGGAATGGTACTGAACTTCTGCGTGAATTAATTATGCATTTCAAAAAAGACTTTGCCTCTGAGCCTTTCCTCAAGCTCAACAAAGACACCACATCCTGATACATCAGACAAAAGAAGAGGCCTACAGCTGGTCCTCTTCACAAAAAACACAACATATGCTACTCAGATGAGAATCTATATCCACTTATCCTTGTTATGGAATTCTATCACACTATCAAGATAAAGTGCGGGGTCACAGAACATGTGTTAAACGGATACGTTCATATTATATTATTTCCTGGGAATGATTATCTGGGTAGATTGTACCTGTAATTATTTTTGGACATTTGTCCCTGTTTGCACTCTGCTAAAACCTTGGGTATAATCTATACAAAGAGTCAAACTGACTTATCCCACTGTACTGTAAGCTTTGTGTCAAATAAACATGCACTGCTGCCATACTCTAAACACTCTGGAGGGCTTTTTACAGTGTGAATTAAGAGTAAATACTCCTTCAACTTGTTTCTTAAAAATAAACATTTACATGGGTTGTGTAAGAAAATTCCTCACCTCTTCCAGAGTCCACTGGGGGCCTGGTCTGGGCTGTAGACTGTTGGGTTGACGTAGTGTTACAATCACTGTCACAGGTGCTGTGGATCTTGTTCTCTACTTGCTCTCTCCCTGTCACCTCATCACTGACTGCATGCGATTTAAACCCCTCAGCAGTGTCCTCGGGGCTGAGTGAGAAAAGCTTTGAGCCTTTAATTTCTTCAACATTTGTAAGCGTTTCCAAAACAACTGGATCTGTGTACCTCTCTCCACTGTACCCTTGGGCAGTGTCCGCACTGTTTGGGTTAGATAATATCTCCCCAGAGTTTTCTTCCACTCTGTCTTTATTAAATGTAATAAGTTCCAGTTCTCTTGTTGCTCCAATACTTTCAAAGCTTATGGGTGTTTCCCAACTATCGTTTTTAGCCATTTCAACATGTGTATTTGTCACTTTATGAATATTTTTTGAGCTGTCTTTATGGTTTGTGTCCATAAAAGAGACTGTCGAGGTGGTAAATAGATTTGTTCCTGGTTCCTTAGATGACTCTTTCTTTAAGGTTGGTGCAGTTGGTCCTTTCTTTCCACTGCTGATCTTATCCACCTCAAATGGTTGTTGATTGCTGGTATCATCAGTTCCCAAATTAAAAATCTTGTTTTCTTTCCCACCAGTAGGTGAATTCCAGGCTCCGCTTTGCAGATTGTTAGGATCCTCTGTACTCCCAGTCTCACTGTTGTCTCTAAGTTGGTTCTTACTTTGTTGAACCTTATCCAAATATTGTACATTACTTGAATTCTGAGACTCTGGTTGTGATTGTAACTCTGTACTGTTGTTTTTTAACCATTTATTGTCCAATACATTTGACCTCATTACCAGCGGAATGGGTTTGATTTCTTCTGTTTGTTCTTGTTCTGTTGCACCAGTGGGACTGGAGAATTGAGTCCCTGTGCTTACCTTTGTCTTGAAGTCTCTGGTTGTGTTTGGCTCAGTTTGAAAGTTTGACCTTCTTATATAGCTTGGTCTTATAATTCCAGAGCCATTTTTCCTGGCAATATTGGTATTTCTGACTGAAATTGACAGTTTTGAATGTACCCCAACACTTTTGTTTGCTGACATGTTGTCCATCACATTAGGTTGTCTTAGTTTGTTGACTCTCTGTGAAATCACAGTTGTTGGATGTCTATCGGGGTGTCTTAATGGGTTTGGCATCACATACCTTTTGTTGTCTTGGCTTACTCTACGTATCTTGCTGATGTTTTTCCTGCTGTTCTGGAACGGTCCCTCTCCAGCTGGAACTTTGAGCGGAGTTACTGAAATTCTCCTTGTCCCCTGGCCTACTACTTGT